TCAAAAAATACCCAGAACTCAAGTTTGTTTTGCATAAAAAACTTGAAAGTTTAATAAAAAAAACTTGACAAATACTGGGCATCAAAGTTTGGCGGCTTAAGAGGCTGACGATCATTACGGGGAAAGGAGACGGGGGGAGGTGGTGAGTGTGTGAGGTGAGGAGGAGGTGGTGAGTGGGTGAGGAGGAGGTGGTGGTGTGTGAGTGAGGTGGTGAGTGTGTGATGAGTGAGGTGATGAGTGTGTGATGAGTGAGAGGAGGTGGTGAGTGTGTGATGAGTGAGGAGGTGATAGGTGTGTGATGAGTGAGGAGGAGGTGGTGAGTGTGTGATGAGTGAGGAGGTGTGAGTGTGTGATGGGTGAGGGAGGAGGTGGTGAGTGTGTGGGTGAGGAGGAGGTGGTGAGTGTGTGATGGTGAGGAGGAGGTGGTGAGTGTGTGATGAGGGTGGGGAGGAGGTGGTGGGTGTGTGATGGTGGGAGGAGGTGGTGGTGTGTGATGAGTGAGGAGGAGGTGGTGAGTGTGTGGGGTGAGGAGGTGGTGAGTGTGTGATGGTGAGGAGGAGGTGGGGTGAGTGTGTGATGAGGAGGGGGTGGTGAGTGTGTGATGGGTGGGGAGGAGGTGGTGAGTGTGTGATGAGTGAAGGAGGTGGTGAGTGTGTGAGGTGGGTGAGGAAGCGTATGGGGTGTGTGTCTGAGAATTGGAGTGTGTGTGTGAGTGGGGAGACGCAAGGTGTCTTTGGATTATGCTAATGTGTGATAGTAAGTGTGTAGAACGTTGTGAGAGTGTGTATGGGAATGGTGAGAGTGCGTGGACGAAAACAAGAGAATGAGAAAAAAGAAAGTGCGTTGATAAGAGAAGAGAAAAAGACAGAGTGAGAGATACAGAATAATAGAGACAGAGATAGAGAAAATGAGCAAGAGAGAGAGAGAGAGATTGTTAGATCGTGTCTAGAGAGAGAGAGAGGGAGACAGAGAGCGCGCGCATAATTATCCTTAAAAAAAGACATCACTCTAAAAAAAATTTCCAAAAGATGATTATTCCTCCCAGGAGAGCCTCAGCCTCCACTAGTGATGCAGCCAACGTGGTTAATGAGGCCACTTAACCCGTCGTCCATCCTATGAATAACATGCCTGGAGTCACAAGGGATCGTCTTTGTAATATACACTGTGTAGGACATTGCCTGAGGTGATGACTCTCTCTCTCTCTCTCTCAGGTCATATGTTATACGGTAAGCATATTCTCTTTCCCTGGGTATACGCACACAAATAACTGTCAGGAGTATATCTACGTGAGGGTGAGGTATGACTGGTATACTACTCTTGTCATACCGTTATATGATGGTTGAGGGAAACGGCGTTATACCCATAGCATATTTTATCTCTCTCTCTCTCTCTCTCTCTCGATATAGCGGTATATATAGTCGCGGATCCTGTTATATCGCAGCTATATCACCCTGGGACTCTCTCTAATATATCTCCCGAGGGACGGTTATACTTTATACCCTGAGACCCCGTTATACTCACCAAATATACCCAACAACCCCGTTATATCCAAGAAATATATCCAAGAACCCCGATAAACTAACAAAAAACCTCGAAGCATAACCCCGATATACCCACAATATATTCCCCAAACCCCGATAAATCACCGATATATCAACACGAACCCCGATAATTCACCGATATATCAACACGAACCCCGATACACCAGCAATATATCCCCTCAACCCCGTTATATTCACGACATATCCCCAAATCTCGCTCAGTGATATATGCTCGAGTATACCAATCACCTGGTATATCCCCAGCCTATCTCCTTCTCCGGCTCTAGGCTTCTCATCGGTAATGGTATAGCTTTTTCTTGCCTCGACTTATCTGCCTAAGAGCTATCGAGATTGGCCGACATCGCTTTATTTCCCCGGCCATTTTAATACTAATTTAACAACACCAATTTTAACCTCTTGTGGTAGTTTGCGATTTTTTGTTTAAACATTTTTTTTTTTTGTAGGGAAGAAAATAGAAAGTTTATAATCGCCTATTTTTTGTGCGTTTATGGTAGGAAAATAGTTATTGTTAGCCTATTTTTAGTGTAATAGCTACCTCTCTCTCTCTCTCTTCCTCTCTCTCTCTATCATTCCCCACACCTTTACCATTTTGGTTATTCCTCTTCCCTATTCTCACTCTCCCCCTCTCCTCCCTCTCCACATCGTCCATCCCCTCACTGCCTCCCCCCCCACTCTCCTATCACTCTCTCTCCAGTTGTCTCCTACCTGTTACTCTCTCTCATTGACCTTCTCTTCCTCCTCTTCTTCATCTTCTTCCCCCACTCTCACTTTCACATCACCACTACCCCCCCTCCTCTTCCTCTCATCCCTCTCTAACAATAACTACCCCCACTCCACTTGTTTTCAATCCTCCTCTCCCCTCTCTCACTCTCATTAACTCACTTTTTTGTCTCTCCCACCTCTCAATCTCTCTCTCTCTCTCTCTCTCTCTCTCTCTCTCTCTCTCTCAACAACTCTCCGCCTTTGTCTCTCTGTCTCGCCCTTGCTTTCCTCCCACAATATCCCTCCACTCTCCTCACTCTCCCTCAATATCCCTCACTCTCCTCACTCTCCCACAACATCCCCTCACCTCCTCATTCTCCCTCAATATCTCCTCCCCTCACCTCCTCCTCACTCTCCCCTCCTCCCCATAATATCCTTCACTCTCCCTCCTCTCCCTCACTCCCCCCAATATCCCCTCACTCTCCTCACTCACCAATATCCTTCACTCTCCCTCCACTCTCCCTCCTCCCCTCCTCTCCTCCCCCCCCACCAATATCCCTCCACTCTCCCTCACTCTCCACACCAATATCTTCACTCTCCCTCACTCTCCCTCCTCCCCCACATCCCTCCCACTCTCCCTCACTCCCCCACAATATCCCTCACTCTCCCTCCTCCCCCACCAATATCCTTCACTCTCCCCTCACTTCCTCCTCCCCCACCAACATCCCTCCTCTCCCTCACTCTCCCTCAAATCCCCTCCCTCTCCCCTCCTCCACCAATATCCTTCACTCTCCCCACTCTCCCTCCTCCCCCACACCCTCACTCTCCCTCACCCCCCCAATATCCTTCACTCTCCTCCCTCTCCCTCCTCCCCATATCCTCACTCTCCCTCCACTCTCCCTCACTCTCCCTCTCTCCTCCCTCACTCCCCACCAATATCCCTCCTCTCCCCTCCACTCTCCCTCCTCCCCTCCTCTCCCTCACCCCCACCATTATCCTCACTCTCCTCACTCTCCCACCAATATCCTTCACTCTCCCTCACTCTCCCTCCCACCACAATATCCCTCACCTCCCCTCATCCCCCATATCCTCCATCTCCCTCCCCCCACCAATATCCTTCTCCCTCCTCACCTCCCTCCCCCAATATCCTTCACTCCCTCCTCTCCCTCCTCCCCACCAATATCCCTCCTCTCCCTCACTCTCCCCTCAACATCCCTCCTCTCCCCTCCCTCCCCTTATCCTTCTCCCCTCCCTCTCCCCTCACTCCCCCACAATCCACCTCACTCTCCTCTCCCCCTGTATCCTTCACTCCTCCCTCCTCTCCCTCCTCCCTCTGTATCCCTCACTCTCCCTCACTCTCCTCTCCCCTCACTCCCCACTTATCCCTCACTCTCCCTCACTCTCCTCCTCCCCTCACTATCCTTCCTCTCCTCACTCTCCCCTCCTCCCCCTCCTCCCTCACTCTCCTCCACTCTCCCTCACTCCCCCTCACTCCCCCACCAATATCCCTCACTCTCCCTCACTCTCCACACCAATATCCTTGACAGCAGCTGGACAAAATGAGACCATCTTCCATTTGTCTGGACACAATGTATACTAAAACAAACATTTCATTATCAAAACAGAATTTACGTCTCTCTCTCTCTCTCTCTCTAAAGGACAAAGATCGTGACTGACACCATATCGCGTTGTAATATTGCCGGGTATAGTTAGTATAGTGAAGTTAACACCATATTTCACTATTATGGTGGTGAATTTCTCTTTATAAGACTCAGATGGTGACACTATATTGTGGTACAGTGTTGATGGGGAATGTAGCTCACCATCTGAACTTGTATTTGTGATTGTGACACTATATTTCACTATTTTTATTTTTTTTTACAATTTAATTCCACTATAAAGTCTCTGATAGTGATACAGTGAGGTTATATTTAACTTTTATGGTGAATGTCACTTTTCCTTTTCTTTTCTTATCTATCAAAATTGTCTCCCGTCACTATCAGGAATATGGTGACTATAAACTTTAAGTAATTTAGTACATAATCCTCACTATACTTACATCACACACACACACACACACACACACACACACACACACACACACCATCACCATTACCCACATTGTAATGGTATATTCACCCTTCACCATCACCACCATCACGGCACCATACTGCAGTACTTCCAAAGCAATTGGTTCAGTAACAGCTACGACTGGGGAAGGTGGTAGGGGAGGGGGGAGGGTGGGGAGGGGAGGGAGGAAGGAGGGGAGGGGGTGGATTGTGTTCTGCTTGCAATCACCATTTGCACTATCATCACCATCATCAACGTTGTAGGGCGGGTATCACTATAGCCACCACAAGAACAACGATCGCTCTATCTCACTATCATCACTGTCGACATCATCATTACTACCACCATTACCACTCCAGCTGTCATTATTGTTACTATCATCATCATCATCATCATTAAAGTTAATACTACCACAGCCATTTCCATCACCACCACTACTACAACTACCAGTATTCCTACAAGTATTTACCACCATCATCACTACAGCTATAATTATCACCACCACCATTACCACCACTACCACCACCACCACCATCACCACTAGCACCACTAGCACCACCACTACCACCACCACCATCATCACCACCACCACTACCACCACCACCAGGCCCCGCCCTCCTCAGCACTCCCGTAGGCTGGACGGAGCGTCAGTAGCGAGCTGGCCGCCGTCCTGTCAACACCCACCCCCGCGTCATCCGCAAATCCTCGAGCGAACCAACTTTTTCCTTGCTCCTCAACCTCTCAAAACCCTCGTAGAAAGTTTCTAAGACTTATAGTGGCTGAGCATTGTGTTGAGCCTGGACTGTGGTGGTTCTCGGACACTACCTGGTGCATTGTGAAAGTATATACAAGGAGAGAGAGAGAGAAGGAGAGAGAAGGAGAAGGAAGTTAGAGTGTGCTTAAAACCTTCACTTTCCTTCAACTCTCATCTCGGGAATTAGTGTTTTGAGAAAGTGATCGTAAGTGTCCAATAAAGGCCTATTTATCTAGTCTATAATAAGCACTTAGGGCATCACAAGAACCCGGAATTAAAGTGCCACAAAAGGTCACAAAAACCTCGATAATGTGACCTTAAACCATCAAGGGGGAAAAGAAGAATAGGTCATCGCTAAACTTGACCCGGTGATGGAAAAGGTCAGTGCTGGGTCGGTGATATGTTTTGAGGTCAACAGTAGTTATGTATCTGTTTTGTGTGTGTCTGTGTGTTTATATCTCACTGTCTCATGTTTAATTGCTATTTTTGGTCATGTTATCGTTGTTCTATTACCTAGTTGTTCCATCACCACAGTTGTTCCATCACCACAATTGTTCCATCACCACAGCTGTTCCATCACCACAATTGTTCCATCACCACAGTTGTTCCATCACCACAGTTGTTCCATCACCACAGCTGTTCCATCACCACAATTGTTCCATCACCATAATTGTCCCAGCACCACAATTGTTCCATCACCACAATTGTTCCATCACCACAGTTGTTCCATCACCACAGCTGTTCCATCACCACAATTGTTCCATCACCATAATTGTCCCATCACCAGAATTGTTCTATTACCACAATTGTCCCCTCACCAGAGTTGTTCTATTACCACAATTGTTCCATCACCATAATTGTCCCATCACCACAATTGTTCCATCACCACAATTGTTCCATCACCACAATTCATGCAAAAAAAAAAAGATACTATAGTCTGATGGAACCTTTGTATTTTGTTACCACTAGATGTCATACTGAAGGGGAATCATCCACACACACACACACACATACACACACACACACACACACACACACACACACACACACACACACACACACACATTTCTGTTCCCCAATTTACAAAGCTACCGAGTTCGTTATCACCGTATATCGTGAATAAGAGCTGTTCGTTATACAATCTACCTATTTGTTTTAATAACGTTCTCACGCTTAACGATAACGAAGTCCCACGCTTAATGATATACATTTGGAGTTAATTCTTGACATATTTTCGTTTAATATATCCAAGCTTCTCGATAGACTAATAGCTACTTGAGATAACAGATAAGGGCGTTTTTTGATGACATGTTAAGCGTATGTGAAGGGAGGTAATTACTCTACTGGTGATCATTACACACGGAGATAATTACAGGTACGGTGTTAGTAGTTACCGTTCCTTAAGCTTATGATTGCTACTGATAACCGCACTTTCTCCAGATTACCTCAAGCTGTGTGCCCTGCCCCCAGCTTATTTCTTTCACCGTAAGTTTGATTATCCTCACGCTAACCTAACCTACCTTCACGCTAACCTAATCTACCCTCACGCTAACCTAATCTACCCTCACGCTAACCTAACCTACGCTAACCTAATCTACCCTCACGCTAACCTAACCTAACCTAACCACAAAATAGACAAGAAAAAGCTGTGATCAGTTCAGAAGAATGTGTCTCGTAGACCCATATGTTACACACCACTCATGTAGGTGCCTCACGAATAATTACTGACTCATGTAGGTGACTCACGAATACTTACTGACTCATGTAGGTGACTCACGAATACTTACCGACTCACGTACAGGGAAAATCTAGGGAAGAAAACAGAAGACAATGTTTTAACGATCGTGAGGGACGGAATAATTAGTTTGTTAGGGTATCTTATAATTGGTGAGGTGGGAAGGGAACGTCCTGGAACAACAAGGAATGCGTTGGAACAAAAAGAAATATAATGATATAATAAGGAACACGATGGAACAACAAGGAACGCACTGCAACAAACAAGGAACTTACTGGAACAACAAGGAATGCGTTGGAACAAAAAGAAATATAATGAGATAACAAGAAACACGATGTAACAACAAGAAACGCCCTAGAACAAACAAGGAACTCACTGTAACAACAAAGAACTTACCGGAACACAATGGCACAACAAAGAATTAACTGGAAGAACAAGGAACTCACTGGAATAAAAATGAACACAAAGGAACAACAAAGAACTTGCTTGAACAACATAGAAAAGACTGGAACTCCCAGGAACACGCTGGAACAACAAGGAACTCTCTGGAATAACAAGGAACAAACTGGAACTCCCAGGAACACGCTGGAACAACAAGGGACTCTCTGGAATAACAAGGAACAAACTGGAACTCCCAGGAACACGCTGGAACAACAAGGAACTCTCTGGAATAACAAGGAACAAACTGAAACTCCCAGGAACAACGCTGGAACAACACGGAACAGACTGGAACACTCAGGAACAATAAGTAACATCACACACTCATATACCATCGCCCGTACTAAATAAAAAAAACATATCCCCTTTTCTCTTCTCTCCCTCCACCTTTTAGCCAACACACACACACATGCATACTAGTGTCTGGCGTTCGAATGCTCACCCCCCCCTTCCTCCCTTCCTAATGATACACGCATCTGCCTGGCTTTTATCGTGTGCCAGTGACAGCAGTAAGTTCCGTTCCGTGTCATACAGCCCAGACGACGACACGGGACGAGCTATCAAGGAAGGGGAAACCATGCCTTCAGATGCGTGTTATAATGTGAGTCAATGATAGGTAGTGTGGGAGAATGATAGTGTGGGAGAATGATAGATAGTGTGGGAGAATGATAGATAGTGTGGGAGAATGATAGTGTAGGAGAATGATAGATAGTGTGGGAGAATGATAGATAGTGTGGGAGAATGATAGATAGTGTGGGAGAATGATAGATAGTGTGGGAAAATGATAGATGGTGTGGGAGAATGATAGATAGTGTGGGAGAATGACAGATAGTGTGGGAGAATGATAGATAGTGTGGGAGAATGATAGATAGTGTGGGAAAATGATAGATGGTGTGGGAGAATGATAGAAAGTGTGGGAGAATGATAGGTAGTGTGGGAGAATGATAGATAGTGTAGGAGAATGATAGATTGTGTGGGAGAATGATAGATAGTGTGAGAATGATGATTGTGTGAAATGATTGGTAGTGGAGAATGATAGATAGTGTAAGAGAATGATAGATTGTGGAGAATGATAGATAGTGGGAGAATGATAGATTGTGTGGGAGAATGATAGATAGTGTGGGAGAATGATAGATTGTGTGGGAGAATGATAGGTAGTGTGGGAGAATGATAGATAGTGTGGAAGAATGATAGATTGTGTGGGAGAATGATAGATTGTGTGGAAGAATGATAGATAGTGTGGGAAAATGATAGATGGTGTGGGAGAATGATAGATAGTGTGGGAGAATGATAGAGTGTGGGAGAATGATAGATAGTGTGGGAGAATGATAGATAGTGTGGGAGAATGATAGATTGTGTGGGAGAATGATACAGTTCGTGTGAAAAAAATACATATTTCTGATCTGCTGAATTTCGACAATTTTAAACCAATATCAAGTTTGCTCTTTAAAATCCATTACATTTTCCCCGTCCTATTAATTCAAACTAATATTTCACTTTAATTCCTATTTTGGCTATTAACTTACACTAATATTATCAACTCGAGCCTATTTTTTCCTATTAACTCAAATATGGTCATTCAACTAGCTAAGCTCAAGTCTCAGTGCAAAACAGACGCCATCTTTTATTGTCATAACTAGAGTGAATCAGTCAAATAAGTTCTTTCACATCACTAGTTAAATGAGGAAAATTAATGGTCAAAATTATTCGGAAAATTTCCTCTTGTGTTTCGGATTAAGTGAACCATTTACATCCGTTCTCTCATCTCCAGTTGAGGGGAAAATTAAACGTTCGGAACCTTTGGGAATCGTTCATTGCACCTGTGATTCAGTGAGGCAGGTGAATACGTTCTCATATCTCTAGTTAACAGGTGAAAAAATATATATACTCGCAAAGGTGAAGAAAACTTGGTGTGTGGTTATAAAATGAAGAGTTGTTTTAATGGTTCATATACGAGGTTTAAATGTGACATGATGCTGTTTTATGTGTTTTAAAGGTTCATATCTGGGGTTCAGAGGTGGTAGGAATATTTTGTTTTGTGTGTTTTAAAGATATCTGGGATCAAGGGTTAGTACGATATTGTTTTTTCTTTAAACGACAATACCATAACACCCCTGAACCCTTAACAGAACCCCTTAAAACGACAAAACCAGTACCGTACCACCCTTGAACCCTTAACAGAACCCCTTAAAACGACAAAAACAGTACCGTACCACCCTTGAACCCTTAACAGAACCCCTTAAAAGGACAAAAACAGTACCGTACCACCCCTGAACCCTTAACAGAACCCCTTAAAACGACAAAAACAGTACCGAACCACCCATGATGGAACCCCCAAAACGACATTATCTCCAAGTTATGTGAGGCGAGAGAGATAGCCGCTCCCTACCTCTCTAAGCCCCTTGGAGAGGTACCTTAGCCCGGCTGCCTTTAGTATTTGATGACGGCCTTTCTTACCCCTTATCTCTCTCTCTCTCTCTCTCTCTCTCTCTCTCTCTCTCTCTCTCTCTCTCTGATAATGTTCCCCAAGAAGTTATCAGTTGTAAAATAATACAGACGTCGACCCAGGGAACTCAGGAGGTTAATGTTCAGTGTTCACAGTGAATTAAATGTTCAGTGTTCATAGTGAAGTAAATGAAATTATTAGTCAGTGTTCATAATCTTAGTATTTAATGCGTTCGTTTTTTTTTTCGACACTTTCTACCTTTATGTTACCCTAAGAAAGTGTGTGTGTGTGTGTGTGTGTGTGTGTGTGTGTGTGTGTGTGTGTGTGTGTGTGTGGTGAATTTGTATGGAGGCGACAAGGACACACACACACACACACACACACACACACACACACACACACACACACACACACACACACACACACACACACACACACACACACACACACACACACACACACATGATAATAATGTCCCCTTAACACCTGTCATTATCCACAGGTATATGTATAATACTTGAACATTATACTTATTACTCTCACGTTGTCTAGTTCCCCTTTCATCACTCTCTCTCTTATTATGCGGAGTCTTTGAGGTTTCTGTGCCCTCTTTGTTCACCCCTACACAAAAGTGGAATAGGTGGAAAGGTGGAAAGGTAATGGAGGTAGAAATGTTGGGAGCTGAAATTCGAAAACGTTGTGGAGATAGAATACCTGGGAGATCAATTTTGGAAATGTTACGGAAATAGAATTGCTAGGAA